TTTTTTTTTTTTTTTTTTTTTTTTTTTTTTTTTTTTTTTTTTTTTGTTTTGTTCCTCCTCGGCATTTCACGCGTAGATGCGGCTGTTATGCAGTCGGTGACAACGTCGGCGGTTGGTGGGCGTTGAGGTAAACGCTCGGTCTTTTGCTCCAATTTGCATGGAACGACGGGCGGTCCGTTTCTGCGCAACTAGTTAGAAAGAAAGACGCGGCGCGTGCGTGTGGGTCAAAGCAAGGGGTGCGGGGACCTTTTAGAGAGAGGGTTTTTATGCTCGACAAATTATAATTTTAATAACGCGAGGAAACGCCGATTTGCCTCGTAAACACGCTCGGTTGTTAATTGGCATGTTAATCACAAGTTTGTGTAAATCTCATAGAAATCTGTACGAAGAAATCGATTGACACGATTCACGGAATTTCGTCCATCCCTTGGGATTAAATATATATATTCATACTACTGATGTACATAAACGGACGTGCCGAAATCTTGATCGAAGCGTCGTGCAGTGCGGCTTTGGCCATCCAGCCGCAGACACGCGCATCCCTCTTTCTTCTCTGCATACGTTTATTTCTTCCAATTAACCCTTGGAGTCTCGGTTCGGGGTTGTCATATGTATATATACACGTGCACGCGACCACTGTGGCGCACACCAAAGTTACGCTAACGACCGCTTCGCGCGCGTGTGTTTACCGAGCGTGTGGTTGCACGCATATACGTATATACATAGGTATACACGTATGTGCTGATACTATATACGTGTAATGAGCTTAATTGCGCTTTATGCCGGTGTCTGAGTTAACAGTGGACCGAATCACTTTTTGGACGATGATCGACCGCGGATACGTGGGGGGTGGTTGTGGGTTTGGGAGAGGTTTTTTTTTTTTGCTGGAGGCATTGGTAAATCACTGATGTGATGATATTTTAAGGAACGAAGGAAAATTTATTTTTCATTGCGAGTCGCGTAACTTTTTCTGTCCAACAAAGTGCCGTTTTTTTAACCAATAATGAAAATTATGAAGGGTAGGGGATGTTTTTTTTTTGATCGTGCATAAATAACCGTAGTGACCGCAGTCAACTGCAATATACTAATAACTTTATAAACAAAATTTTAAAGGAAAAAAAAAATTACACGGAAAATGACATTATTACATTGATTTATTTTGCACCCCACTAAATAAGATATCTCGTTTTTAATATACCTTTTTTTTTTCGTTGCAATTAGGTGTACCCAAAACCACATTTCTTCAGGATAATTAATTGTAACCACGGAAAATAGAACTCAATCCACAAGTGTAAACTATAGCTACAGACGATCTTTTACCTCACAAAGCCACAAGCATTCACAATTGAAAACGTCACCAGTAAACCCCGGCTAACGTTGTTTAAAGCAACCCCGATAGAAATAGGAAATAAAAAAACGGCAGAACCATCCCGGCATCGAGGCGACGGGCGCCATTTCCGTGTCGACCTCAGCAGCAGCAATGCCATCAAAGCTCCGAGCTTGCAAGCTCCGTCTCTATCCCCCCGCCAAAAAAGCCCGATCTATCCTCCGCCGAGGGATAAAAGAAGAGAAGCACAGGGGCGTGGGGGATGGGACTCGGGATCCGATCCAATTCCTCTTTACGACATCAAGTTCGGCAATAAGAAAGTTACAGCGCCCAGGAGGGGTGAAAAGGGAAAAAGGTAAAAAAAAAAAAAAAAAAAAAAAAAGAGAGAGAAATAAGAAAGAGGCGGATAATGTAATGGCTGGGCGTACAGGGGTGGATGCCGGCTCTTTGGCAAAGTTGGGGCGAAAGCTCGGGCTGGGCTTTATTTCCTCTCGCCTCGGTTTTTCGACCCCATCGCGATTTTCTCCCCGGCGCTACCCCCCACCCCCACCCTTTTTCTTTTACTTTTATCGCACTTACGCGGAAACTGATTGATTTTTGCGATTGCCTCCAGAGGAAGAGCACTTCCGACGTGACGTCCCTAACTTTTACGATCTGGTATGTGTCTCTTAGTCTGGCTCTCGTATAGTATTTTATAAGAGTATTGGAGCGCTCAAATATCGATTGCGAATCCTTTTCGGCGTTTCAATGCGGATTGATAAACTAAAAATCCTTGCCGAATGTTTACTAGCTTTGGTCGGAATTAGTAAAGGTATCGTTGAAAGTGTCTTTGTATCCGTAAGTTATCATTCGGCAATGCGTACGGGAATCGTTGAAATAAATATTTCGTAAATCAATGTGTAAAAAAGGTCAAATTTTTCGCTCCAAAAAAAATGTCATTATATATTTTTCGAAAATATGTCATCTTTTCTAAAATTTCATTATTTGGTCCGAGGGACCATTTTGCGGCAGTTTTCGTAGTTGGACTAAGATAATCTTCATATACATTTAAAGTTTGAGGAATCGAAAGTACCAGGGAAACCATTTTATGCTCTGCTCGTCTATCCTTTTACTTTTACTGATTTTTTTTTTTTCTTCTAAAATATCCGTTTGGCTTCGGATTTTTCAAAAACGTTTTTCACCACAACTGTTCATCATCCGAATGTTAGTCCCACGATTCTACCATAAAAGCACACAACGACCAGTAATAGAGCGCCCCATGCAAGTCCGGAAAAAAAGAGAAAAAAAAATTATACACACATCACGCGCGCGTTTCCCTCTTTCTCTCCGCGGATAATCCTCTCCTCCTCCGGACTACAATCAAACGTAACCTCATTGTCGAGCCTTTCAAAGGAATTACGTATGTAAATTAAAATGACAGAACGGAGGAGCTGGTAACTGGTGTAGGGGGAAACGGACTAGTATAGACAGACGCGTTTGATACCGAGCGCCCGCTCAGTCTTTTGTTTCTATTTTGCCAACAATATATATACGCGCGCAAAAGTACTCACCGTCCTTGTTCATTCCCATTTGCATGCACTTTTTCAGCCTGCACGCCTGGCACTGATTGCGATGTGCCTTGTCCACTATGCATCGACCCGTTCCGGCTTGACATCTGCAACAACGAAACAAAACAAAAAAAAAAAAAAAGTGTTTGAACACGCGTTGAAGTATTTTTTTTTTTTTTCCAGCGTTATTTAAAGTTATATTATATTGGATCAAAGATTTTTTTCATCAATTGCCATCGTTTTTTAGTTACGGGAAATCAATAGGTATTCTCAAAAGTGTAATTGTATCGCATGGATATTCAACAAGTAATTTTTACAACTAAGATAAAACACACAAATCAAAAGGTTTAGGGTTGCAAAATGGACTTATTCTAATTTAGGTTGAAGACGCAACTATGATTCGGATTTAGGTATGATTTCTTTTGTAATTCGTTGGTATAAACCAAGTGAGAGCTTTGAAAAAACTAAAACTTCATTTTGCGTTGACCAACATGTTATAAAGGCACAAAACGGAACTTGGAAGAACGAAGACACTGCGGGTATTGAGAGGCAAAAAAAGTCCTATTCCGTCACTAATACAGAGACCGGGGCCGATAAGAAGTGGGTATACGTGACCATCAACCCCGACGAGTTTCCGCCACTACTCCAAGGGTCGTCCTCCGAACAAATCGACAATCGAGATGTCCACGTACACGCGCACTGATGGAGTTAGTGCCGCAACAACGAGAATATATATAATTAAATTCGGCCGATGCCTCGTCGCATCTCTACTCTCGATTCGGCAAGTGCCCCCAGAATCGACAACCATCCCCCAATGTATGTATATACATACGTGTACGGACAGAGGCTGTCCGTGTCGATTGATTCGGATGAAATTCGTCTCGCTTGATATCAACTACTTTTTCGACTTACCCGTCGGATTAGGATGCTGATAAAGGATGATGGTTCGGAGGACGTTGGAAAAAACTAGAGCTCAAAACAAACCGATGTGCTCATGTACTTTAAACAATGGAAGCAATTATTTGGGTTGTTTTGTACTCCAAATCAATTAATAGATGCCCGAGAGTACAAGTTCTGCCACTATAACAACAAAAAAAAAAAAAAAAAAAAAAAAAAAAAAAAAAAAAAAAAAAAGTGTCGATAAGAGACGTGTGCCGTCGCCAAAGGGCCGTCACGCCTCCGCTGCTGCAGAGAGCAGCCACGAGAAATGTTCTTCCACGTCATTACGGCATTGTTCACGGGCGCATGTACCTATACACGGGGGGGTCGTGCCTCTCACGAGCGTGTCACGTGTATGTAAACGACACAGAAAAGTGACGTACACTCGTGCGAGAGGAAAAAGACCCAGCTGGGGGTACGTATGCATATACGTATACCAGTAGTGCCTCCGGCGTGTACGAGTTTTCTGCATTACGTATGCGTGGATCTTCTCGTAGCAAAGAGAGAGAGAGAGAGAGTGGTAAGGTTTATCCTATTGTTTGTTTGATTCCTTTTTTTTTTTTTTTTTTTTTTCACTGTAATTTTTGCAAACGTAAATTGAACCCCCTTAGTATGCATTGTACGATCGCGGGGTTTCCAAGTCACGTAGGAAATCCAAACTTGTGGACGTATTCTAG